GAACAGGCGGAGAGGAACATATTGCCATGGTCGGTCTTGTCAATCGTCACCTTCAGTGTACTGCTACCAGTATCAGTCACCATAGGTGTGGTACATGCTGATAACCAACTACCACCGGTAGTACTCAGTGTGCGACCATCATTGGTGATCCTCAATGAACTGCCACATCGACTGGTATCAAACAGTGGCTGCCTGGCAGTAGATGTTACCACGAGTCGCTGTGGACTGCCTTGTAAATGCCTGTTCCCAATCATAGCTGATACACAGTAGCGACCAGCTGTCAATCGATCATGTCCGATCTCTACACGGCCAGGTAATGATTCACAGCAATTGCGCATAGCGGAAAATTCGTCATTGCCAAGATTGCCTACAGAAATCTCCAGTCCGATGTTGTCAAGTTGATCCTGACTCACACTGCATGCAGGCGTATTGGTAGTACTGGCAGTGGCAGCAGTCGGTGATGACGTCATCTCAACACGGAGTATAACGTCATCATGAGTCGTGGCTTTGTCTGGACAATCCAGTACAGCATGATCAGCTACATCCAGTACAGTACCAGACTTGCCAATGTCATTCAGTAGTTGTGTGATGTCAGTGCTGGCAAACACAAGCCCACTGGACACACATGGAACTGTATCTTCTTCAGCTGTTCGCATTGCTTTGTTCAATGACTCGTCGACCCATGTCCATATACGGAGGAGGTCAACATCGTCAGCAAATGACTGCACAATATTCGCTGCACTCTTTTTTTGCGATACACACTCCTGAAGTCGGTTTTGTTGTTCCTCCAATGACTGCATCTTCTTAGATCGCATGTCATCCAGCTCTGCAAGGAGTTCATTCTCACGCTTCACAACTGCTTCCGTCAAACGTTTGGAGAAGTCAGTGACCTTTGCGGAGGCCAGCTCTGTTTGGTCATTGAGGTTCTGAATGTTTGTTTGAACATTGTTCAATGCTTGGCTTATGATCCCATCACATGTTGATGTACCGCTGCCAAGCTTATCTGCTAACATATCCCGAGTCTTTTGACCAGCACTGGCTATATCCAAGACTTGATGATCTTTCTTGTGTGAATGTGCCTGTTTGCACTTTGGACACAGCAACTGGTTACACTGTACGCAGAATCCATCAACAAACTCACTTGTATGCAGTACACACCTGTGCTGTGTAGCAGATCTGCTGGTCGATCCTGCAGAAGACGAGGCACGCTCCATTTGGGATAATGGCTTGACGGTGTGTCCCTTGGTGGCTTTGAATAATGGATGACTAGTTGCGTGTGCATCGCACATTTTCACCTGGCAGTTCTCACACCCGCTGGTGGCGATGGTATCATCTCCACACTCTTCACACATGGGTTTCCCAAGCGTCTCGTCTCCCGCCACAGAATCTCCACTGTCCACAACACTTGGGAGCGATCGCAATGGCTCGACGCTCATAGGCAGCGGAGTGGTGGACAAACATTTCGGACATTTGATTGAACCGTCAAAGGAAATGCTGTTTTGCACACAGGGTACGCACAGCGTGTGCAGGCAAGAGACGAATTTTAGAGCTGTGCTCAATGAGCAACAACCGTTGCACTGGAGAGAAGACATTGCTATCGACTACCAATAGTCCATCGGCCAAGTCTCAAAATCGAAAGTGGTGATGCACTGAGCTTCCAACTAAACGCGACCATACCCAGCACGTAGAGAATATATCAGAGAACACTATTCCGTTTGTTGGACGTGCCGAATTCAGTCCAGGGCATCGATACGAAGCGTTCTTCGTCGCCGAGTTTTTTACTGTGCGCTCCATTTGAGAGTGCGCAGAGTTCTGATCGAGAGTTTTTTGAGCAGATTTTCAAATTTTTGAGGCTGTCAGCTGACAGCTGTCAACCCTAAATGGCACTTAGTATGTGACAGGCAATAGGTTTTGGTGGCTCCGTATGCCTTCTAATAAGTTCTATCTTCCTTCGTTTCACTTCGCTGCTTCGCCCACCACCTCAGGAGATGACAGCGTACCTGCACTAGTCAGCTCTCGCTAACCCTGTCTCTCTTTCACCGTCTTAGCGCTCGTCATTCGTGTCCTTCTGCTGGGGCGAGCTTGATACTGTTGTGTCGTAGTTTTTAGGCAATAGTGGCTGTTGTTCCCGTGACGATCAGGATTTATGGAGAAAGACGACGACTCGCCAAGTTCCCATGCAGCCACAGACGGCGTAGCAATTCTTACCGCCAGCCCTTGGAGCAACGGAAGCGGCCTGAGTTGGAAATCGTGTCTGTGTAATTGTGCCACGATACGGATGAAACACACAGGCTCGCATGTGACGAGATGAAGATAATCTCAACAGGCTGACGGAAATCCAACAGGCTCACGGGAACGCTGCAGTTATGGTCGGAGACGCGGAGTTGTTTAGTCACTGGTAAATGTTGCATCGAGTGCTGTGTGCTCTAACACAATTGTAAAAATCATGAAAAAGCGAAAATAATGCAATGGTGGGGCTGAGTGGTGTTCTGTGGAGGAGACGTCGCTGTCTCGGTATTCAACGCCGGACCCTGTATTTCAAGTCTGTGGTCATGCTCGATCATAAGTTCCTGTATGGCTCCAGTGCCTTCTCAGCATTGTTGGCGGGTAAGCACCTGGATCGTGTCCAAGTACTGCGGCTCTGGTGGCTTGAGGGATGTACGGGTGCTCGCCGTGCACCCCTGCCGGCAATCTGCTAGTGAAGCTTGGTACCTACTGTGTCCGGGAGATTTTCATCCAGAAGCTGATCTTCCTAGGCTGGAGCTGCTGCTACTCCTGTGCTCGCCCTCAACCACTGGCGCTCCTACTCGGCTCCAGTGTGGGCCATTAACCACCCTGCCCGATTTCGCACTGTTGCTATTCCACACCGTCAGCATTTAATTCTGAGGTCAGACCTTGATCCCTCCCACCATATGCTATCTGTCTGTCTGCCTCTCTCTCACACACAGATATGCACGCATACACACCAACACACACACACACACATGCACACACAGTGACACAAACATACACATAGCCAACTTCTCTGTGTTTGGTGATCATCATCTGTTTTCTGATGTGCAAGCTCACCTCTGATGCCGATTACTTCCTTGCTTAGACCCGGTCTGCTATTAGACCAGTCTGCTCTCCCTTCACTCGCTTGTAAATCCTACTTGGAGCAGTAAGGTTGTGTCACTGCTCCTACTGATGTCATTGTTGTGAAAGCAATATCATCGCCATTGGTGGTAATTTTCCACCATGCATGAATCATTGACAATCATCATCTATGTGTCACGGCCTAACCAATGACCATCCTCGTAACTCCCCTCATCGTGACTAGTGCTGTACCGTTGAAACCTACTTTGCTTCAGTGTATATTCGCTCCAAAGCTCTTGTTTTGTTGCATAGTGATCTGACGCAGTGTGCTATAGCCTATCGGGTAATATGGATAAGATTAGTACAGTCGGAATCGCCTATCGAGTGACCAGGTACATGTATAAGGATACTAGTACATGTATACCGGCTTAATGATATCGGAACACAAATAGCACTATGTGTGCAATGTTCCTTTCTAAGCTCACGCTGTGCGGTGCAGATAGGTCATGTGTCGTTGCCAACTTGCCGCATGTGCATGTGCAGCAGGAAGGCACCACATTTGCGACTACTACTTATACTGTACAGCATTGTGTGCTTACATGCATCTACGGCCTTGTGGATGCAATTGAGTCTCACATACATGTACATGAAATATTGCTTGTAGTGCGGCATCAGGTGTTAACATACAATGGCTAAATATTTTTCTCGCAATAATGACCGTATTCACCACAAGTGTGTTTATGTCCAGAGCCAACTCAAGTCCTACTTTATTTATGACCATGACAACAAGACTTCCGGGCTGAAATTCTTCTATGACAGGCATGAACACTTGCCTTACAATTGTTCGTGATTGTACGAAGTACATATTCGCTGTTGCATCAATTTTGCACCATTTATATTGTAGTGCCACTAGTGGTATCACCTGCATGCGTATTGAGTCAAACAAGGTTACCTCTGTATAATTATGCTTATCGTGGCTATCAAGAGCTTCGATGCAAATTCCCAGCTGACGAATGGTGTCCAGCTTGTGTTCAGCTCAGCTGGCACTCACAACTCATAATAATTGCGTTCTAGACGCCAGATGATATGTTTCAGCTACAATGTAGACAAAACGTCCGTGTTCAAGAAAGCCGTCACTTCATCTTCTGTCCATCCTCAATAGCACGTTCAAGCAAATACGTCTGAAACACAGCAGCGACAATCCGACAGCGGCGACACGCTGTCTTCTCCGAATGAGCTTCTTCCGTTCTACTTCAGATAACTGATTCCCCAAAAAATGTCAAAATATATAATAGATTTCCACCAATCTCGCTAGAATCTTGCGAACCGTCAACATGCATGCATTTCAAGTGTTCGAGCGTGCGTAGATTCTGCTCAGCGGCTCAAGAACATTCGCCAAGCGAAAAAAAGTCGATGAGAAAGATGTAATGGTGGACGAAATTACGAAAATCGGAAGAAGGTATTCGACCCAGTTCGACTATCCTGGACTGGATTGGCAACGTCCAACAAACGGATTCGTATTCTATGGGGTCTCCTGAGCTAGTGTGCCAAAGGGCGTTTAGTTGGAGCTTCAGTGCATCACCTTCGCCGAAAGAGGCCCTTTCTGAGATTTGGCGATGGACTACAACGACTCCTGAAGGCTATCGTCGTATCGACCACAGGCACGTACAAGTGTATTTAGTCGTTAGAAAACGGGATTTCTAGAAACTCCGTAACAGTTTTAATACCGGTATTTCTTCTTTGATTTTTGTTTGGCGCACACGCGCGTGTACATGGTACATGGCCTATATGGTGGCTCACGTTCACATGGAAACGTGGTGAGTAAAAGTTTTGGACGCGCAGTCTACGCGGTGCGTGTTTGCCGCCATCACACGTTTTCGTCAGGCATTTTTGAGTCTAACGCGAGTATTACTATTACTATTAGTGTACTAAATTAAAATTAGATTCTTGACACGATCTACCATGATCTACTGCTTATGCCAGTATTTATACAGGACCATGGACTGAGCGATTGAAATCACATTGTGTCTCGTGAAAGAAACTCACGAGTATTAAACCAGCAGTGCCAGCACGCTGCGAGCTAGAAGGGCCTCGGATCCTCAGCGACTGTATTTGCTGAGAAAATAAGAACAGTAATGGCTAGCGAAGAAGTGCTGCATTCCTTCACGATGCCTGCGGCTGAGGCGGTGAGAAACACCACACTGGGTGCGCTAGCCGGGGCGGGCACAGATCTGCAGGACACATGGACATGGGTGTACACGGAGTGGGCGGGCGAGGATGCCCTATTTCTATGGACAGGTGAGACACTCCACCAGCACCGCCAGCATTGCGAGTGCAACTGCAGACCTACAGCCAGTACAGGCTACACCATGAAACCGTGACAGTTGTTGGAAGGGGGGGGGGGGGGGGGCACAGTTCTTTCTTTCGTTCAGAAAGTTCACGACTTTTGATCGGACTGGGCGGGTAAAGACCAAGCATAGCAAGGGTCCTGAGTTGGCAGCTCTCATCCTAGCAGCTGAATCAGTTCGACAAGTATGCATGTCAGGACCGTCGGCAGCAGTAATCAATTGGTCCGGCCGGCCGTACCTAAGCCTTTCATATAATTATTATGTTTGATATGCTGGTAGTGGGAATATAGAACCGCCTTAGGCTTAGCAGTAAGCATGCGCTGGTGGCCGCAAAGTTGGTCCGGTAATAACCTGACCAACCGGACCGGTGCTTTCTCCTCGCGTGGTGCACGTGAGCGCCCGATGACGGTCCACTGTGCTCCGGCCCAACCGAACACACACACACACACACACACACACACACACACACACACACACACACGTATGCACACCTTTTGACCTTTTGTCAGTTTTGATGCCCATCGCCGTGAGCGATGATAGCGATGCTACAGCAGAAGCCATAGCAGCTTGTGCTGGGATTGCACCATTCAACAGCTTACAAAGCTGAAGAACACACACGCACATACACACACACACGCACACGCGCACACACTCACACACATACACACAGAAGAAATAAAGCGATGAGGACCCTGGCTATGTCAAGCACTTCTACCAGACATACTTTGATGTTTTGCATAGCTTTAGGTAAATTAGCAATGGTCCCGTGAAACTACGTAGCTGCTATACCGTAAAATCCCGCCAGAGCAGCCTCGCCCCTGCGCCCCTCCCTGACTTGTGAGGAAAGTGAATCCTTGTATGACTCTGTGAAGCGTGATGCCGTGCTGTACTGCAGATGCATGCTCGACCCGGTTGGAAATGTATGCAACAGTACCCATCCTAGTACCCTCTAGTCTTGACCAGGGATTGCACAAACCCTGGGTTTTTGATGGGTCTGTACGGCTCCCTGCTCTTGACCTTTGGTCGGTGTACGAGACTCGAGCACAGTTTCCATAGGGTGAGTACTCTTTCATGTACAGTCTGACCTTGCTTATCCGATCCTCCTTTATCCGCATACCTCGCCATCCGCAAGAAAATCGCTGGTTACCGATATACATGCACATGTACATGTACAGCATATGCCATGCATACAATGTATGCCATACAGTATGTGTATGTGTGCTCGCTTATCCGGTTCCCTCGCCTATCCGGAATTTTTTTGTGGAAAACTGATGTGTGCGGTTAAAAGCGAGGTCTGACTGTAGTACTGAATGCGGCAAGTAGAACTTGCCGATCCGGCCCGTCCACAGCGGGATCTACTCGAAGGGTCACAGAGGTAGGAGCGCTCTGGCGGGATTTTACGGTAATTTTGGCTGCGGGATAGGAGGTGGGGGAGAAGTAGCTCAGCTGTGCTTAACTAGATATGCTAGGGATTTGCAGTGCCGAAAGTGGCTAATGTCTTCAGGGAAGGGCGTTTTACAATATTAGCAATATTGTGTGTTGTGTGTGTGTGTGTGTGTGTGTGTGTGTGTGTGTGCGCGCGCGCGCGTGTGTGTGTGTGTCGCGGTGTGTGCATTCCCCTGCTCAGTTTTCTTCCTCATCACATCATCGTTCTTCTGGATCTTCAATCTCGGCTTCAACTTTCTGGAGCTAACTGGACAGCCGGCATACCTACTAAAGTATCGTATTCAACTCAAACAGAAACCAGCAGTGGTAAGTCAGCATGCATGGAAAAGCATTGGAAGGACACATTGTGCCAGTCCATATGACATTGTGTTATGTCCGTGAGTGTACTCAAGCAAGAATCCAGAGGTCCTGAGCTTGTGTTTGAGACCGTTTTAATCGTGTAGCCTGTCATCTATGTCTTGGTCAGGAGGGAAAGAAAACTGCGATCTGTACCTACATTATGACGGCGGTACAGTTGCGCTTGGTGAAGCCCGACTCAGAGTGCGAAATTGGCGGCCTGGACGAGTTCCGATCACCTCAATGTGCGTATTTGTTCATGTGCATGTTCAGCCGCATGTGTGCCACTTCCAAGGCATCAACGGCCGGCCTGTGCAAGTTTAGGGCGCCAAATAAGCACTCTGGGTTGAATTATTTCACAGAGCACAACTCTTTATCTACTCGAGTATACTGCCGAGACGCATGCATTCATACTGCGTACCACAGCCACTATGGATGATGGGTGTTGCTCTGCACAGGTGGACCGGGCCGTGTTCTTCAAGTGTGTACGCACCGTCCTGCACAACCAGCTGGCCATCGGCATACCGTTCCACTACTGCCTGCTGCCGCTGTTGCTATGGCGCGGCGGACTGTATGACCGGGCGCTGCCGTCGCTACCGTACGCACTGTTTGACCTAGCCATGTGCTCGTTGGCGATTGAAGTCGGCTTCTACTACACACACCGGTGAGCTCTAGAGGACATATGGGCACGGGTTCCGAGTTTCCGTTGGCTAAAGGTTGCCCCATTTGCATTGTAGTGCTTCTCAGCTCTCATATGCACCGTACAATTCACACTGGTGAGTGCTGAGGGATAGGTCTAGATGACCATGCAACACCAGCAGTTTCTCTACTAAGTGTACTGGGTCAGTGACTGTCTTCGCTGCGTTGTCCTCTCCATGCAGGCTGCTTCACCTGCCCTACTTCTACCGCAAGTACCACAAGATCCACCACGAGTGGCGCAGCCCGATCAGCATCTCGTCCATCTACTGCCACCCGTTCGAGTACTGGCTCTCCAACCTGCTGCCGCTCGTCGCCGGCCCGATCCTGATGGGCTCGCACTTCACGACGGCCATGTTCTGGGTCATGTTGAGCACGGCGTCCGGCTCCATTGCGCACTGCGGTTACCACTTGCCGTTGCTGCCGTCGAACGAAACACACGACTATCACCATTCACAGTAAGGATCTCCGGCACTTTTTATGTGTTTTTTATGTGTTTTTTATGTGTTTTCTATGTGTTTTTTATGTGTTTTTTAACACTTGTTTTTAAAAAAACACCACAGAACCATTAGGTGGTGCACAGCGGGGGTGACTGGCACATTGGATGGAAGTGGCGGCTGGGCAGAAGTAACTCCTCTGACCAAGGGTCTCAGATTCACCGTTACTCATGTGCGCCTGGGCGGTACACTGTGCTTGCCACAACAAATTTATAATAAAGTTTCGCGTGCAGGGCGGGTCAAAACGTGACCGCATTTCCGCTGCCGTGGGACGCCACCACCCAATGATCAGGCGTCAGATGCGGCTCCTAAACGGCGGGGGAGGATAGATCAGATCCCGGCACCAACCAGAGTTTATGGTTTATATTCATAGGAGAAGAACTGTCCTAAACTGAAGCATGCGACCTCACCTCACGTTGCGTTGAACCACCTTGTTGTGTGTTTGCGTCGCTTTTGCACACTCAGATTCAACCAGATCTACGGTCCGCTTGGCATCCTGGACACATTGCATGGCACCAACCGGCGCTTCAAGGCGAGCGTCCACTTCTTGCGACATTTCACGCTGACCGGCTCCACACCGGCGTATGTACTGGTGCCGGACAAGAGCAGCAAAGACGAGCAGACGGTGACCGAGTAGTGAGCGGGATCACTAGGGAATTCCCCACCTCCACACTCGTTGTTCTGCGTGCATGCAGTGCCGGGGAACAGCACCGGGAAGAGTCAAGCTGCTACTCGCCACGTTGCCACCCAGACCCGGAATGCACTGTTCTTTGAAACGTCTTTCTGCTGGATTAGTACTAGTTAGTTGTTACCGACTGAGAGAGGCCGGTGGTAAACTGGTAATAGCTGTGGCGGATATTGTGTTGTCACGGGCTCAGGCAGTTCGGCCTCAGCCGCGGGCCTGTGGAGCATGCAGAACTTGCAGCCAGACTCACGTGACACTAGTGTTGCTCATCATGGACATGGTTTTGAGGACCTGATTTCCAGTACCTGCATGTACATCTGAAATGTACTGGATTACTTCTTGCTGTGGCTCGTCATCCGCATCATTATAATCACTGGCAGGCCAATTATCACTTCTTGACTATTAATTATTAAAGTACATGCAAGTCAAGCGTCATGATTCAAACTAGGAATGAGTTCAACTGAGAATATGATGATAGCTATCTTTACTTTAGGCTCATGCAGTGTTCTTCCATACCAGGGACATCATCCACGGCTATATCGAATCATATTTTAATCGGGCAATCCTTGCACGGGCTGGTTCCTGGACTGGGGAGCCCACTTTTATTTTTTGTATCCATACCATTGCCGGCTGGTTTTCTGCTGTGTCGCCGTGTGTCGTGTTGTGCTCCTACGGAAATCCGACCCGTAAGACGAGAGCAGCGCCAAGTCTCATACGGCGCCTGCGGCCCTCCAATCGGTTTTTGGAGCGTGCGTGATGTAATTGAAATGGAAGTGCGGCGCAACCTTTGACTCGCTGGTCGCTTTTCTCTGGCCATGACTGTGCTACATGACAAGTATTGACGTGATTGCAAGCCATGCGTGTGGGACATGACCTCCGAGCGGTGTTGTAGCCCCAGTACTAGGCTGACGCTTGTATCAATGTGTATTGCGGAAAGATGAATACTCTACCGGTGATCCACCAGAAGCATTCTTTGACTAGCTGGATATACAGGCGCGTGCCCCGAATGGGTTCCTGGGTGCCCGGAACGCCCCTTTTTCGCTCAAAAATGCAGGATTTTGCTTCATTTTTTGAAATTTTTTTCCGGGGGGGGGGGGAGGCCCCCGCCTCCCCCCCTTGAAGGGCACCGGCGCACGCGCCTGGTACATCATGACTTGTATTTGTACGTGACTTTTAGTATGATTTGTACAATCATGTACATGTAGTTGCCAAGTTGGGGAAAGGCAAATCCAGTCCGGCGCCGGGCCGCGGGCACTCTGTTTCGTGCATGTTCCATGCACGAGGCATGATTACGCCTACGTCATGTAACATAGCGAGACTCGGCGTATGCGCTAGCCAGGCGCCTAGCGGCTAGGGCGCCTGCCGCATAGCCTGGCGCTCATTTTCCTGTCTTTTCGCGGCGCGGCGATCGATAGGGAAAACATAAGACATTTTGTGGCATGACAATACAGTATTTTATGGTCATGAATCTATGCAGGCGAAGCGCCAGCACCGAAAAAGAGCCCTAAAAGTTGCACTTTTATTTTCCAAATCCGACCCCAGGCCCGGGAAATTTGAAACTCAGCTCAATATCGCCAAAAAGAGACTATTTTATCCCTTGCTCACAAGAGCTTCCCTGGTGGTATCGTCTTGTTCCGAGGCAATGTTTGGGAAGGTGCGGGCATTAGCTGCCCTAAGTTTCGCGGAAAGCTCCAAGCGACATCAATTTCCTCGCTTTCTCGCCAGAGTTTTCAAGACCGACGCAACTCGTCGTCAAAAAGTACTCAGCGTGGATTTCGTGCCGAATTCCGCCCCAAACAATTTAGGCTGACCTCTCGCCACCAATCGAACCCACTGATATGTATCTACCTATACACGAGCAATGGTTTGAGCCCAAAGAAGGACAACTTCACAACGAGCACACTTTCTGAGGGTAATATTTACTATGTGTATCAGTATTAGAACACCATCAAGACGACAAATTGACCAGCAGAAAGACAGAAAGTTGCACTACAAATACATGCATACAGCAGCTGTATAAACATAAATAATTGAACAGAAAACTATGTAACTGGATCCCACCAAAAACAGTAAAGCATCCCAAATAGTATGCGCATACACATATACATGAAGGAAGGCTATGTTGCCACCATACACTGGCTACGCACACGGACATCATTCTGGAGAGCTGAGCATCAGCGTGCGCACACACCCACACACACATCTGCAGCTGCTGATCTGCATGCACGAGCGCACACCCACATGCGCATGCACACGCGCGCGCGCGCACACACACCCACATATACACATGCACGCGCGCACACTCCTGCCCTGTGCTGTCGAGCCACTGCCACAAGGGTTGCGTGGGCCTCGAAGGCACCGGAGAGAGAATAGTAGAACGCAGTCCCATAGATACACACGCACACACACACACACACACATGTACACAACACGTGCAAGTACACACGTGGCAGCTTACTACAAGAGAACCACACAAGTTCACATGTGGGCGCGAACTGTATTCACAGTTGGTCATACTGTCTTGGGCATATGAGGGAGGAGCAGGAGAGTGAGTGATTGACTCAGACACAATGCGCTTCGACATGCTAGCACATGCACCGGCTTCAGACAGTGGCAGAACGTGACGGAGAGAGAGAGAGAGAGAGAGAGAGAGAGAGAGAGAGAGAGAGAGAGAGATAGAGATAGAGAGAGAGAGATAGAGAGAGAGAGAGAGAGAGAGAGAGAGAGAGAGAGAGAGAGAGAGAGAGAGCACCAGCGTTCCAGCTCAAGCTCCAAATTTCTAGTTGCTTCTCCTGGTCACAGTAAACACAGAACAGGGCTCAGGCAGTGCCGAGGAAGTGCTTGTACTTGGTGCAGTGTCGTGAGCAGGATAAACTTCCAACATCTCTACACAGTGTAGCTCTTCAGGCGCACACGAAGACTCAGAAACCGGAATATACTTTACATGATGATTGAAAGTCCAGCAGCACAACAAAACTTCCAAGGACTGGTTTGGCACTAGCTTCCGTCTCATTGGCGTGCGCCCAGCCAGTTTTGGAAAGAAAGAGTAGACGTTCATTCCTCGTTCAACCTGCAATGAACTGGAGACAACACAAACCAACAAGACGACCATGGTTATCATCAGCTCATGTGTTCACCAACGCAGTGCTACCATTCACTTTCCTGCTCCAAATGCACTACCAGGCTGCATGGTACTACTGTCGTGGACATGGAAATCCGGTCGCACGTATAGCGGCCCCAGGGCGCTGGCCATGTAGCCGTAGCACGGTTTATCATGCGCTGCTGATGGTCGCATTGGATCAACATGTGCACTGCATGCAACGTTCTGTACGTGCTGAGGGTGCCGGCCCCGGTCAATCGACTGGATTTCCATGTCCGCGACAGTACGATGTGTCGATAATAGACCGTGATTTGCATTTTCCAATGATTAGGACTGGTATTATTTCTATTTTTCACACTTAGAAAGAAAACAAGGGGCAAGATTTGATATGGATTATGTGGTTGTTGGCTATGTCAACATTTGAAAGAGGGTTGCAACCGTGATAGCACTGCAACATGAGTTTAAACCTACGTATTGCATGGTATACTCAACAGTTGGCGAGCAGAGAATTTCGTGCCGAATTCCGCCCCAAGGTTGTGCACAGCAAACAACTTGATATATCATTAGCCCTACCCTTGTGCTATACGTACCCGTTGTGCCGATCGAGCCTGAGCCCTCTACTCGACTCCACGGTCCAATGACATTCGGTCATCATGGCCAAATTCAAGTCACTCAAGTGTTGAGAAGTGTCTACGTCGTCGCACACAGCATGTGTCGACATACAAAAATATGTGTACGATAGAGAAAGAACTACTGAAGAGCAACCAACTGGTTTCAGCATTCTCCTTCAAAGGATAGGTCGGTGGCAGAGGGCCAAAGCCGGACAATAGTTGGAAATTCTCAGCGTTGAATTTCTACAGGCTGTAGATACCTGGAAAAGCTCGATTTCCCGCCACGGAAAATAAAAAAGTCTTGATTTGGGGTGCTGGCGCTTCGCCTGTATGGTACATGTACTTTTCTCATTCTAAAAATTAGCTTGTTTGTAATTGCGTCCTGTTCCACGTGGTGATTTTCAGACATAAGAAGAGCGCTACGCTATCGCTAGTAACAGTGGTGTGCGCAGGGCTGTAAAGACGCTTCGTATTCTGCATCCTACGGCTACCTACCGTTGGTCCAGACGCCTCAGTATAACCTCATTTACTCCCGTTGCACTTTTCAGTGTTTGGACTTGCGCGGTGCATGTGTTGGTGGTGAAGGTGGTGTACAGATATATCTTCATTGGTGTCTGGCTGTTGTAGCAGCTGGCTGGCTTGCATTGGTGATTGGCCGTGCTGGGCACACCATGAACGGTCTTCTGCTGCTGCAGTACCAAGCGAACACTCACAGACACGACGAGCAGGCCAGCAGCAGCAGCATGTGCAGCTTCAAGTGTGTGCTGGTCCAGCTGCTGAACACGATCATGGCGGTGCTGGCCGTGGTGATGTTCTACGTGATCGTGCAGGGCGACAGGCGGCGCCGCCTCATGGCCGGCAGTGGCATCAGGCTCAGCGACGACTTTGCATACGCGTTCGCAGACCTCGAGGGTGAGGCGTACGAGCAGCTAGCGGACCTGCAGAAGCGCATGGAGCAGACGAAACGTGACGTACAAGATCGGTTGGAGCAAGTGCAGCCACCGGACTCTAGCTGCCCGCTACCCGGCGAGAAAGCGCCTGGTGACACACCGAAGCTGAAGAAGAAACGGAAAACAGCGAAATCGACTAGCGGCAACGGAAAGACGATAACGCCGACATCGTCAGACGAAGCGTCATCATCGTGTTGCAAGTCCGACAATGGCGACTGTAAATGCGCTCAGGGTAAATCGGGAAAGAAAAGCGGCGGGAAAGGACGCCGCAGTAAGAAGAAGGCTCAGCTGAGCACGTAGAAGCACACCGCGATGCTGCGCATAGGCAGACGGCCGCCGGTGTGCAAGATATGCCTTCCTGGCCACGTCATGCCAGACATGCCATAATGATTGCCATTGGCTATTTGCTGGATGTACCGAAAACTCCTGGGAAACCATGGCAGGCTGTGCATCACGGAACAGAACCATCTGCACACCAAACGGAGCGCACGGAAGCGAATCATATATTATCTCTACTTAGGGGCACGCATGTGTGTCTGTACTGAGCTGGTGTCAAGTTTATGCAGACGTACATGTACATGGACGCATAGCCCTACCGTCGCTCTCGGCCTCATATCAGTTCTATACGAATCCTAATTGATCTCGGTCCTCTGAACAAGATACGTTCGCCGTTTGGAGGGTACTAGAGTCTCGAAAGCTTTCATGTCCGGTCCCCCGAGCTGCATCTTAGTTGTGCCATTCATGCAGTGTCACAGGCTCCCTCCTTACCGAAACGACCTCTGAAATGTGCCCTGGACGGCACCAGTTATTCGCTAGTACATGTATGTATGTATGTATGTATGTATAACTCATAATCACAAGGTGATCGTAGAGGCATTAATCAGCGAGAGAATTGTGAATGATGTCTCTGAATCCAATTCTATCGTGTGCTGCATGAGAGAGAGCATGCAAGGGAAGACCCGTCCAACTTTTAATGTTAGAAATCCATGATGTTGCGGGCCTTCCTCTCGGTCGAGATGGTATGTCGTCCTAATTATATATTTAACCATGCAACGTCCGACCAATGGTTTTCTTTGCTTTAATATATCTCCTCAGTGCGAAGTGTACTGTTTTGAAATCAGGTTTCCACGTAGGTTTACAGTGTCTGGGTCTCCCCACCAATTTTTGTCTGCCATGAGCTCAGCACCATGCATCGGTACAGAACACTCAGTCCTGTCGAATTCTGAAGAACTGGGGGTCAGCCTCGTAGCCTAAAATTTCATGGAGCCTATGGTCTATGCTGACTATGCACAGTTGAGTCACCGTGTACTAGTACACATGTACATTGGTGTGCTGTGCCAGGGTGAAATTCGAGTTCTTTCTTCGGCACCCGGCAGTACTGTGTAGTTATAACACACCTCACTATAAATACACAAAGTGTTCACAAATATCAGCAGGAGTTCATATGAACGCTTGATATCAGGGTGCAGCCCTTACTCATTTTTCGATTTTTGTGTTTTTCAGGTCATATTACGAAAATCAAGAGTACATACCCCTCCCCGGGGAGTATGTACTCTTGCGAAAATGCATGCAGTCACCGATCATAAAGACACGATTGTCGGGAGTGAAGTCGGGGGTACGGGGTCGAAACCCCCGTACGTTGTATTTTCTGTGGCAAGGCAATTTTGGAAAATCAGTTTAATACCACTAACTTACCAGCAACTGTTTCCCCGGCCTGCCCCCCCCCCCCCACTATTTTTACCCGGTTAGAACCTTGAATATGTACTCCTGCTAGACACAGTCACATAAACATACTCTTGGCACCGGAGTACTTCACCTATGTTCGTTGCACAATTTTAAAAGCCAAAAAAGGATGCGCGGCTGTAAAGCGGTCTGGCCAATCTTCAAGTCTACAGAAGTCAAAGCCAGAAATCAAGTGCATGCAAGCTGGCCAGAACCATGGCATGATGTTACAAAAGACAAATCTACGTGGGTAAGCACACACTTGAAGAGGGAAACTGAATGGGACAAATTGCAAGTGCCATACCAGAAAAGCATCAGCAAGATCGGCAGCAGCATTCGTAGAGTAGAGAGACACAGGTACTTTTTAAAGTCAACACGGACTAGACTATAGCCAGAACGGGGTTGCATAGCGGTACAGCTGTTCTGCTGTCGTGTTGAGTTGTGGCGAATCAAGTATGGAGTACATTCTTTTAAAGTTCAGAACAGAAGGTTGGTGGGTGCACGTGCCGTCATTCCTACAACTTGCGCCAAGTGCATGCAGCCAGTCATTCAGCCATTATGCTGCTGCATGGCCCGATGTCAGGCTCTCTCCTTTGCAGCGCACTCGGCCGACTCGTCCACAAGTAGTCATGAGCGCAGCTTGGCACGTTCGGCCACGTCGATGACGCCGATGTTCTTCGCCGCTACGATCATCTGGATGACGCTAATGAGCTGCTTCATGGCGCAGAATGGCAAGGACGCGGCGAACAGCAACTTCCACATGCCCCAGGGCTCGACGTCCCACGGAACGAAGACAACTGAACACCGGACACAGTCAGAACAAACAGGAACTGCTCCAAACAAAATCTCCAAAACAGGAGAGTGCAACTGTAGCAAACACAGCATGGAGACCTAGAAAACAAATCACCAGTACCATGTAGGTGTGGTCTTAGATTTCCTAGTACAAAACAGGCCAAGGTACAGGCAATGGATGGCAGACTAAGAGAAACAATGCCGCCACAGGCTCACAGCACAACCGTAGTGCTGCCGTTTACATTTACACAGTGAAAGAATACTTCCGTACTGCTCCATGAAATCTGATCGAGTGAGCCAGCGTTGCGCCCTGCACCAGTGAACATCCCAGTGTTTGCAGGTCTAGGGCTGCATGGGGCCCGGCGCGTACTTGAGTGCCCAGCGTAGCAAAAACAACCACTAGCACTTCGAAGTAAGCCATGCACAACACCATGACTGTCATCAATGACAACACAATCCGGAGAGAGAGAGAGAGAGAGAGAGAGAGAGACAGCAAGAGAGAGAGAGAGAGAGAGAGAGAGAGAGAGAGAGAGAGAGAGAGAGAGAGAGAGAGAGAGAGAGAGAGAGAGACAGACAGAGAAGAGCGACAGCAACTTACAGAGTGGTCCGGGAGAGAAGTACATGAAGTACAAAGCAGCAAAGCACAGCTCATTAGCCGCACAGAAGAAGAACAGCACATACTGGAGATCGGAAAGAACCAGACACACACATATGCACACACAGATGAACACACACACATATGCACACACAGATGCACACACACACACACATATGCACACACAGATGCACACACACACACATGCACGCACACATAGCATAGATCAGCACTGGACACACAATGAAAAGCAAGCGGTTGTCTAAAAAGCAATACTCCTGCACTATTCTATGCCCCCTTTCAATACATCACTAAGAGTCAAAGCCCAATCACAACGGTATGCCCTGCCGCCATTTCCTGCAATTGCACAACACACATGCTCCCGCAGATCCTCTCATAAAGCACAGAAAACCCATGCGTTGCTAGCTCCCCCCCCCCCCCCCGGTTTGCATTCTCGCCGTGAATGATGGTACTTGCAATGGGCTTCTTCTCCGGTGTCTTCTCCGATTGGCT